AACATCTACCTTACAAGGAGCTCTGGTGACGTAGTGCCTAAGGCACTTGACTGCTAACCAGAGACTGGCGGTTCAAACCCACCAGCCACTCCTCAGAAGGAAGGTTGGGCAATCTACTTCTGTAGTGATACTGCCTCAGAAACCCAAGGAGGGGTTGCTATGGGTCGGGGCCGACTCGACCGCACATAACAACAACAACAACAAATTTATCTTGGATACTCTTCCTTTTTATGAGAAAAAAAATTGAATTGCAGAAAGCAAATATCTAAGGTTATTGGCTAACCTGTGTCAAAACTAAGACTCCTGAATGTTGGCCCTGCATCTCTGCTTTATTGTATAGATCAAAGGTGTATGTGTGCCCTTTCTTTGGGAGGAGCCAAAGCTTTGATCAGATTCTTAAACAGATTTATACATTGTCAACAATCATAAGTTTTAGTATTAGCGAGAAGCAGAGTTTGAGACGTTAAAAAAAAAAATGTCAGGTCCCTTACCTTTCACCCCAGTTCGGTAGGTGTGTTGAACATATTTCAGTCCTGACACAATATCCTTGTTTACCTGTAGAGAAAAGGATCAAAGTAATTCAGGTTAAAGAGGGTCCTTCACTTTTCCTCATAGTTTGGTTCCGATCCTTGCTAGATCTTCTCTAAGGTTGAAAAGGACTGAAGATTTAGTTCAGAATAAATGAGGCAGGGATTGGATAGAGGAGATCACAAAACCTGGCCAATTTTGTTTTAATAATAAGATACTGTGATTTTTATTATTTTGGAGAAGGGGTGGTGGTTAATTAAAAGCTTTTCTTAGTACTCCTCACAATCTTTCTCTTTTTTGAAATGGTCTAGTTACCCCTCTTCCACACTAGTGGCCAGGAGACTGTCCTTCTCTTAGGAAAGTTTACAAAGGGACCAATGGAAAATGTTATGCAAATATCTGAAAACCATAACCTGGGAAACAATCCACCTAGCATATGAAAAACAAACAACAAGGAGAAAAGCCGTAATGGAAAATCAAGTCTAGAAGACTGGGCCTGCAGGGCAATTGAGATTGGAGTCCTAAGGCAAGGAGATGGGCCACATGAAAAGGTCCTTCCCCAAGTATAAATAATGGGTGAAATCCACCTGTGTCTGGCAAGCACTTTGGATGTCTGTCTTTTTCAGACGTTGTGTGAGATCCTGCCTGTTTCCAAGTCTTTGAAAGAAAATTTAGTAGAACAGAATGAAAATACAGACATCCCACATGGTTTGTTTTTCCATGATTCATTTTACGTGTCTGAACTGGATTCTCAATTTTATACAGTGGTCATGTCTATACAAACAAATTAAAGTGGAAATTGCATCATTAGCTGAAGGACTTGGTGAACTGTTCACCAATATGAAGAATTAAAGCACACCAAGTAATTTATCCCCAACAATAATTATCCTCATCCCTCTTTTTTTTTGACAGAATAAGTAAACGAGTCTATTGGTGTTGTACGTTATTTTGTTGGTGATGAGTTCACAGAGCAGTGAACACTGCTAGCTTAGATTCTGGACTGTTTCTTAGTGAAATCTGTAATACAAACTCATCACAAGCAGACAGAACAAAAACAACTACATTGAAGCAACTGCGATGAAATGAAGAGCGGATTTTCTAATTATGCTGACTCCCAGATGTAGTTTATAAGAAGAGGGAAAATGAATGTGTCTTTCTAGAAATCACTGAGCTAGATCGTTGGACCTCATGGTAGATGAAGCCTGAACGAAGAAAGACTTATGAACCAGAATGGTAATGGGGTAGCAATAATGACTTCAAAACAAAGAGATGCCCATTTTTCTACTGCTTCATGGAGAGTCCGTTTAGTATAAATACATTTGGGATGAATTTTAAAGAAGTATGTATACTCATAGTATATTCTTTGTTGGCTTGCTACCCTCTCGCTGATGTCTCTCTCATCCCAGGAGGAAGAAGCTTTATAGACATGCATGAAATAAGAGCTGGGGAAGTGAAAGATACAACATCCATTTCCTTGAGAGGCAGAAGGAAAAGTGGAAAATAATGAAGCAACCATCCCAGGCCAGGTTTTTGGAGAGAGTCCTGTGAAGTTCATTGGGAGAAAGAGAACAATATTAGAAGCAACTGAGGGAGAAAGAAATGATTTTAGGCTGTTTTGCTGGTGCTCTAAGTATAAAATTGCTTGGGCATTTTTCAAGGTTTAAAAATGTCAGTAAAGATTTAAAACATTTTTTAAATTTTTGTACTGGCATTTCTTTTAACTATAGCTCCATGCTGGGTCAAGTCAGTTCAGCTTTATGTGAGTTACGTGTAGAAAGTGGTCTTTTTCCTTTAGAAATAAGGCCCACCTCTGAAATGGAGGGACTTGAATGTCCCTCTCTTTGCCTTCCTCCTCAATACCTGGATGCATAACTCTGATGCCCTGGTCACACATTGTCTTCCTTCCCAGCCTCCCTCTCATAACAGGAGTCCACGCCCCACACCTTTCCTTCTCTTCTTACTCACATCAGAAATTGACTGTAATATTTCACTTGATGAAAACTAACTTACTAAATTGACAGATTAATACAGTAGCATTAGTGATTAATAACAGGCCTGATATGTATCTCATTCTAGGCATATCTGGACACAATGTCTTACGAAACCCCCGGATGCTTCGGTAATAAATAACATGACAGAAAACAAGTAAGTGAACCATAGCACAGTGCCTAGGGTAGACCAGGCATCAACAAATATTTCCAGAATGACAATATTTTGAGACATATTTATATATGATGGGAAATGATCATTCATGGATACTGAATTAAATCCTGCACCTGGGGGTAAGGGGGGCCCAGTCTACAAATAGAAAATGCAGATGGGTCCTCTTTGCTGTGGCCTAGGCTCTGGAGAGTAAGGTTAAATGGAAGCGAGGGGAAACCAAGGCAAACACAAGTAATTAAGAGCAAACAGTGCATTTCTAACATTTTGTTTTCAAAGTTAAGGTTTTCCTTCTCCTTGGTTTTGGCTGGTCATTGGGATATGTGTCTATTCATTAGATACTAGTTAATTTCCTATCTAGTTTTATTTGGTCACCTCCTCTACAACTATAACTGTAATTTCCAGTTATTTACCAAAGACCATAGTACCTGAGTTTAGATACTCATTGAAGAAGGACAGTTAAGGCCCCATCTATTCTATTCTTATCCCCAACTAATTGCTTCATTCATGTGTTTCTCTACTATAGTCACCAAGTATTTTTCATTTGCAAGGTTTTCTGTGAAATATTAGAAAGAAGGGATATGTGATCTCTCCCTACCTCAAGGAGTCTAGGCTGTACAAGGGAGAAATAATACAAATGGTATAATACAAAGCAGTGGGTGCCTCTTGGATATGAGGATTAGGAGTTCACAAAAACAGGGATCCTATTGGCTTAAGTGGTCCGTGCACAGTTCAAGCAGAGGGTCTTGGCCAGGAAAAGGAATGAACAAAGTGTTTCTGCAGCAGGTGGATCTCAGAGTTGGGAGAGGAAATCCCACAACTGGAGGATGGAGGGGAGATGAAGGGTGAGACAAAAACATGCTGATATGATAATGCAAATTTAGTCTGTAATTATAGGAAAGAATTATACTTTATAAAGACAAACACAGAGGGCAAGATACCTACTTTGAAGTGAATTTTGACTTTATATTCAGCTCCTTCCTTTAGCACGAAGGTTTCTTTTTTGAGAGCTTCAAGATCCCCTATAGAAGTAGATTTAGAAAGAGTTTATTCTCCTCAGAAGCAGATACACAAGGAGACTAATAAAGCATATGCTTCAGAACCCTTCCTTTGGCCCATCTGAGCAACATCATCCATGGGGCTCTCGATTCAGAGCACTTGAGGTTGGTCTCTGAACACACACACACTGAAATGCCTCAAGCTGGAGGCTTCCTTACAGCTCAGATATGAAAAATGCAATAGTTTTTTTCTTTTTTAAAATCCATGACAAGCCTAAAAACATACAAGACATTTTCAATATTTATGAAGATAAAAGAATGTTTTCTAATTGTCAGTAATAAAGAACATGAGCTTCAATCATCCATACTATAGGAAAGCCTGGATCATCTTTCTATTCTCACTATTGAAAATAGTGTTATATGTATGTGATCAAGTGAAAAAGTGATTAAAGGATGTATCGCCATTTTTCCAAAAAAGAAATATAGGAAAAATTATATATGAGTGTTGGACATTTGTTTGTATGGATCTTGTGAAGTTTATGGAATTTTCTAGCTTTAAAAATTATTTTTGATTCCTTTTATTATTATATATAAATTTAATGATACTTTTTAATTTGTATTTGCCAGTTAATATTATTTTTCTAAGGAGGGTCACCCAAATTATAAAAACTTCACACTCCAAAAAACCTGAATCTATGCCTAATTCCTGTACTTTGTTTAGGGTAGTAATCATTCTCAGTTTTTCTCTCAATGTAACCCTGTATAACTTGGTGTTAGACAGGTGTGTGTGTGTGTATTTTGAATAGCTGTGTGCATGATTCTTTCTTTGAAGTGAATTTTGACTCTAATTCAACACCTTCCTTTAGCACAAAGATTTCTTTTTTAAGAGTTTCAAGATCACTTGCACACAGCCTGCACCAGCATTTATACCTCTGGGATTTGCCTCACTAGTTATGTGTGTGTGTGTGTGTGCACGCGCACGCGTGTGTGACGAGAAACCAAATTTGGGTTCCCTTCTGCTGGGACAGGGGATACAGGCCAAGTTTTCCCTGTGATATCATTAGGCCCCTTGGATCAGAACAGACTTCCCTTGGTGCAAATTCAGACCTTATCTTGAAAACTGTCAATTACACCTGGTACCATTGCACAATTTCACACAGGAAGAGGTCTAAGTCCTAGTGAGTGAAAGAGTTTCTCGCCTGGAGAGATGTCAGAATGTGGGGTTGTTGAATTGTATGCTGTGTCTACTCTGATGATTTCAGTTGAACAGGAAGTATATCCTCTCAGCCTCTGATTTCCTCCCTCTGACCAAAAGAAGAGGCCATATATGGTAAAGAATGGATTGTCCAATGAGAGAGGAACCACCTCACTGCTGAGCTGACTGACTGTCCCACAGTCCCATTTTGCTCAGTCTCACAAAAGTCCAGTATTTGAATTTGGTATCAGTTGTTTTTTCTCTCTATGGGATCTGGGAAGATAGTAAAATAAGTTGACTTTGCCTTTGAAGATCCCCAGCTTCCTTGTTCTGTGCCCTAGTTTTTCATTCTCTTTCAGATATCCATATCCCCTATAATTTCCATCTTCCCAAATTTTCTCCATTTCCTTAAGACCTAAGACCAGGAAAGGCTTTGAACCTTAGTCACAATAAGGTGAAAGTGAATACTAACATCCTAATTTGTGCACTGTCAATGTGGGAAGCTTCTTATATAACAAGGATCAGAGCTTTAAGCTAAAAAATAAAGATTTAACAGTGGGATTTCCAGTATCATTCAGGAGATGTTAGATTGCTATTTGCCTTTAGGTAAGTTCTGTGGCTAACATAACAGCAACAATTGCTCTGAAGTTTGTTGTTGTTGTTTGTTGTTATGTGCCATCGAGTTGGACCCGAGCGGCCTCTCCTTGGGTTTCCGAGGCAGTATCATTACGGGAGAAGATTGCCCCTTCTTCCTTCTGAGGAGTGGCTGGTGGGTTTGAACCGCCAGCCTCCTGGTTAGCAGTCAAGTGCCTTAGGCACTATGCTACCAGAGCTCTGAAGTTTAGTTATATAAATATTAGAATTCCAGAAGCATAATTCTTGCTTCTTAATATTTCCACCAGCACTTTTTATATGAATAGTAATTCTTCTGCTATCATTTGGATATCAAAAATCTGAAGTGAATACTATATAGGTAAATACATCAAGTGCTTACCCTTGCACCTTCTTCAATTAAATAGAGACAGAAATGTGGCACTTCATTAAGCATAGTATAATAGTGTGTACTCTTGAGAGGAATGATTTGTGAGCTGGTAGCAGCAGATGTAACACTATTCCCCGTACTAGGGCTTCCTTTGCCTGGGACAGGACATAGGGACCAAATTTCCACTGTAATATCATCAAGCCCTTCTGAACAGAACAGATGTGTCCACTTACCAGTCAGGTCCATGGTGATTGGTCCTGGGGCACTATCACATACCAGGGTTAGCCGGGTGACCGTTACATTGGGGGCTGTTGGGTCTGCAGGATTCAAAATAGAATGTAAGCATAGGTTATAGATGTGTGTAGTGTATGTGTGTGTTTAAAAAAGGAGACAGAGAATACAGAAAAAAGAAAGGTAATATCTCTATCTGGAGTAGAAACAGAAATGTTGTTTTAAGCTGTTGAGTTGATTCTGACTCATAGTTTGACCCTATAGGACAGAACAGAACTGCTCCATAAAGTTTCCTAGACCGTAATCTTTACAAGAGCTGATTGCCAGGTCTTTTCTTCTATGGAGTGGCTAGTGGGTTTGAACTTCTGACCTTTTGTTTAGCAGCCAAACACTTAATCATTGTACACCACCAGGTCTCATTTGAAATAGAAATGGATGTGATAAATTCACCATATTTGGTCATGATGGCCTTATAAACATAGAGATATTATGTTCTCTCAGGAACTTGTAGCAGCATTTCCTGAATAGCTATAGGTGAGGTACTTTACTAGGTGGGCACAATCCATCCATATCTTGGGGCCATGCCTTGCCTTGTCATTGTGTATGTAGATGAACAGAATGGTTAGAGGAGTGACAAGAAGAGACAAAAGAGAGAGACTATGAGAGATATTAGAGAGGAGACTACAGTTATAAGAATTAGTCTAGAATTCTTTCTAAATTCTGTGTTACATCTGCCTATTTCAATGCTAACCTGTACCTTATCTCCAGAGGAGACTTAATTATACAGTTTGGAATTTTATTCAGCATATGTGGATTATATTTCTCTCCTCAACACTTGGGGGAGGTTGGTACCCTTTCTTTGCACTCATTCCTCAGTGGCTGAAATTTATGTTTCCTCTTGGGCCCTCCATCTTCGCTTGATTCCCACATACCTACTACTACAGGACCATCCCCCAGAAGTGTTTTCTTGTACTTGGCTAGACTTTCATCATCTTTATCCATCTCCTGTAGCTCTTTCAGGGACTTCTGAGGTGGGGGCTTGTAATTGAGCTTGCTGTCCAGGTCATCATCATCTTCTTCCAGGTGTGGTTCTGGGGCCTTTTCAGTCATCTTGGTCTATTTTAGAGAGAGAAGAAGATAGTCCATTAGCCAAAGCCAGTGGATGTGAAAGATGTCTGTGGAATTGCAGTTACTACTATCCTACCCTAATGGAGTTTCATAATCTTCCATGATTTTCCAGGAGACTTTCCCTAATTCAATTTCATTATTTTTCATGAAATAAGAATATAATGTATTCTAGTCATTTATGCCTGCCTGTTTTTTCTTTACTGTGATGAGTATCTCCTACTCACTGAATAAAACAGGTAAGAAATAACTAATTTGTGAATAATATAGTACAAGTGAAGCAACATAGTACAAACAGTTCCTGAACAATAAACCAATAGCCTCCATTCAAAGAGTTATAGAAATTATCACTGTCTTTGAAATCTAGGGAGCCTTGCTAATGACAAAGTTCTCAGCATGTACAATCCCAGTTATGATGGTTTAAGAGAAAAGCAAAGTGCCTGACAAAAGAATGATTTGCTTCTTTCCATTAGTTGAATCTTTCCCTGAACTGCAACAACTAAAATGTTACTCATGAGAAATTGTAGACCTTTATGATACCTGCATATGATGTCAGAATAGTCCATATCCAACATTGCTAATAACTCCTTAAGGGCATACTGAATTTTACATTTCTCTTGAATCCTCCATAACACTTAGCATAGTTTAGACACTAAGATATTCATTGATTGATTTGGCCTGCTAATCAAAAGGTCGGCAGTTTGAACCCAGCAGCTGCTCTGTGGGAGAAAGTTGAAGGAACCTGTTTTTGTGAAGATTCACAGACTTGGAAACCCTATGGAGCAGTTCTACTCTGTCCTATAGGGTGTCTATGAGTCAGAATTGACTCAGAAGAGGGTAAATATCTAAAGATCTTCTGTTCTTTTGATGTGACACAAAATAGCAAATTCATTCCTCTAGAGAAAATTGTAGAAGTTTAGTAGGCTTCCATCCATCACCTCTTTCTGGACCTGCTTCCTTTTTTGTTCTTTCCTCTCACCAGGTTTCTACTGATCTTATGTTCCAAGGTCACACCTGGTCATAACTTGGAATCAGCTCTTTGCCATCATCATCTACATTTACTTGTCTGTGTCAGAGCATTGAGTGATACCTAATAAAATCATCCACACTGAACTGTTAATGACTGAATAATAGATTCATGAATTGTTCCTCATAGGGCATGCATAGTCAGAAGTTTTCAGAGATTAAATGAACCTTAAAAACATAAAAACCAAATCTAGTGTTGATGAGTTGATTCCCGCTCCTAGTGACCCTCCTATAGGACAGAGTAGAATTGCCCCCGTAGAGTTTTGAAGGCTGTAAATCGTTATGGTGGTGCAGTGGTTAAGGCAGTTGGCTGCTAACCAAAAAGTTGGTAGCTTGAACCAAGCAGCCACTCCACAGGAGAAAGATGAGGAAATCTCTGTAAAGATTTAAGATCTTGGAAACCCTACGGAGGTCACTAGGAGTCGGAATTGACTCTATGACAGTGAGTTTGGTTTTTGGTTTGGAATTGTTATCGAAGCATATAGCCACATCTTTTTCCCACAGAGTAATGAGTTCAAACTGCCAACATTTTGGTTAGCAGCCAAGCACTTAACCCTGGCACCACCAGTGGTCCTTGAAAGGAACTTTAGAGGTGATATATTCCAATTCCTCATTTTATCACTGAGAAAATTGTAAGAGAATAGCTCAAGTTTACAAAGGTGGATGAGATGCAATATCTTAACCAAAAGGGAAGAATTTCAGGCATAATGCATGGTAACAATGGAGATATTTGGGGAAGCAAGGATGATATTTGGGCAAGGAGATCACTTTATGATGCCTCTCATTCGACTTCCGGTGTATCTCTTTTCTCTGCTTGTGAGTAAAGCCGTCATTGCTCCTAAGTGACACAACTATGAGGCAATATCATTACATCTCATTTTGAGTGGCTCTGCAAACCTCTATAAAGTTCTGTTCAAGGGAAGATATCTGTGGCTAGGATCAAGTTGTGGTTTTGAGTTTCAGTGTCACTACCATTGGCAACAGGAATAGAAACAATTTGGAAGTAAAGCCAAACAAAAACAACTTTAACAGATGATAAAAAACAAAAATATATCACTTGGCTCATCAGTCCTCTTCCAGCTAAATAACAAGCCAAACACTATGAGCCTTGCCCAACTCTGAAAACAGCATTGCAATGTCCAGACCTACTTCCTGCGGAGGAAGGAAACATGTAGGATTGTTTCTACAACAACTCTTGCCTCAGCTGCAGAATGCCACTGGTCAAAGCTGAGACTTCAGAGAATAACATAATAAACACAGAAACTTATCCAACTCACAGTCCAAACACCACTAGGCCAAATGATTGAACTTAATGGAAAAAAGTGAAAGATGCAGTGGGTGGATGTTGTAAGTTGTGGGTAATTTAAGGACACCATTAAGGAGCAAATTAAGAACAAACCAGATGAGACAGATAAGACAGGAGCCTGACCAGATACTCAAAGTGGAGGCCACATGAAAAACCTGCAGAGGGATCATTAGGAAGGCTATCAACAGAGGATGGCATCCAGCCCCCATGGACAGACCTTTCTGGAATCTCTCACTTGGTTCTGACAAGTCACCTGCTTGAACCCTGGTCACTAGATGGTGACATCACATCTAGTCACTAAATGAAGGTGATTTCAATAACTTACAGGGAATTGTTAGCAATCAAGTGCTTTAGGCACCACACCACCAGAGCTCCCACCAGCCACTCCTAGGAAGATTGGGCAACCTACTGCCGCAGGGATTCCGGCTCGAAAACCCAAGGAGAGGTCGCTGTGAGTCAGAAATGATTGCAGTGAGTTTTTTTTTTTTTTTTTAATTTTATAGGGAACTGTGATTCTGTGGCATGTAATCTCAATTCTGAAAAGAGAGAGAGGCAGAGAGACAAAGAGAGCTACTTGGTCTGGGATAGGATTTGCCTGTGAGACCATTGGTAAGTCAATCTGTCCTCTAGGTCTTGGTCTTCTCTGATAAATCTGAAGACTTGTGTCAGTTCTAAATTTCCTTGATTCATTGCAAACAGACACAATTAAGCACAAATTTATTTGAAGACATTTAAATGTATTTATTTTGAAGAGCAGAGAATAATGTCATTACTATATGCAATTGTTTCAGTTAAGAGGAGGAAATTCAGGACCACATTACATTTCATTTGGCTTAACTATAGCATAAGAAAAAGAGATACCAGTCCAGATGACCCAATCCAAGCTCACTGTGGAAAGATTATTAGAAAAAGATGAAAATGTAATGTTGTTGTTTGTTGTTATGTGCTGTGGAGTCTGGCCGACTCATAGCGACCCCTCCTTGTGTTTCCAAGGCAGTATCACTACGGAGCTCTGGTAGTATAATGCCTAACACGCTTGACTGCTTACCAGAAGACTGGCGGTTCAAACCCACCAGCCACTCCTCGGAAGGAAGGTTGGGCAATCTACTTCCATAGTGATACTGCCTCGGAAACCCAAGGAGGGGT